GGGGGGGGGGGGGAGGTGACATCTGAAGGAAAACATGACAACTGGACTTGCAGTATGATGACAAAATCAAAACACAAGCAATGAAAACACATTTATCAACAAATAAAAAAAAATTGAAGTAAGAAAAAGAAAAGACAAAATGTATATTCTCAGATCAATATCTAATATTACCTCCCAAATTATTGCAGTTCGATCATTTGATGCTGAAGCTAAATATTTTCCATTGTGTGAAAATTGTACAAACCAAACTTCATCATCATGTGCTTCTAATATCTGTTGCAATATTGGTAAGAAAAGAAAATAACATTAGAATATAGATACCACTAACACTATAAGAAGTAAAGACAGGATGTTCATTGAAAATATATAGCAAAAGGATGGAACCAGATGACAAATTCTATACCTTTTCTTGTTTCTCTTCCCTGGCTTTTGGGGATGGTTTTTGAAACAAATCAGATTATAAATATTAAACCTATGTACAAAATTTACCCTTGAATTCAATTAATGATACATGAATCTCACTTGCAAGAAAGAAAGTGCATTTTACATCTTTGGTAGAAATGGCAGCTGTAAATAGTGTAATTGTATATAGCTTTATATAGTGAAAATGCATGACACCATTAGAAATTGTAGCTTGATCAGATATTTCAGGTATGCTAAATGAGTTCCTACAAACTTCGTGCATTAGTATTTAATTGCCAGGATAGTAAAATTTAGATCTTCAAATATATTATAGAAACACCAACCATGGACTTTTATATGAAGATAAAGGGCATGTAAATGAGGACGAGTTCACAATTTACATCAAAAAGACATTCTACTTTCAAGGTTAATGTCTTCTAATTGGAGGAAACTCGGTACTCGCAAAGTTTAAGAAGCAGAATTTTTGCTAGGTCAAGTGCAAAAGCAAATTATCAAGCCATGGCATTAGCAACATGTGACCTTGTTTTGACTGAAAAGTTGCTTCAAGAATTGAGATATGGAAAAGCAAAACAGATGCAAATGACTTGTGCCATTACAAAGTAATATTTCACAAGACACCAAAACATGTGCATGGACTACCATTTCATCCAAAATGATTTTGTCTGGTTATGTCCTACTAATTTTGTCTCAGATGACAAACTAGCATGTGTTTACCAAGTCTTTGCAAACCCTACAATAATTTAATTGAATATCACCAACGTGTAGTTAATTGGTTTCATCAAATCTTTCTAATCATTAACATTTCTTATACACAAAAAAATGGGAAAAAAAAAAAAGGATAATTCACAGGACCTCAATTCACCAATAATCACATCCATTTCCAAGATGCCGCAATGTCTAGTATGTCCAAGCATAACTTTATAATTAAGAAAAAGTTAAGGCTGAAGAAAAGCTAACAAACAGTGTTCTAGTTTGCAATAGGCAATCAGAAACAGGAAGCTGCTTCTACTAGTAATTAACAAGTTAGCAATATGTATTAGAGATATCATCTTCTAACCTGTAATGTTCTGGAAGGTATCTGATCTTTTCCACAATGATGATCTGAATATAATGACATCTCCTTATCCATTGAATTATGAAACGGGCATGCCTCTTGTTGCAAGATAAGGGCTTGTTCAACTAGATGCTCCAACCTCTTTTCAGGTATCATCACTGTTGGTGGAAGCAGTTTCTGCAATTCCTCCAGAAGGTTTGACCGAGACCTTACCCTTACAGTATCTCGCTTAGGAGATGATGAAACTATGAAGGAAGAGAGTTCTCGAATTCTACTACTATTAATGCAAAGTGGAGCAATCTCCATCCTCAAGGTCTTCAACGCTTCCATGACCTTTTCACCATTTAGAAGCTCAAAGAATTTCTGCTCCAGTATTAAAAATGAGGCTGACCTGACCACACCTTCATCTGCCAGACCAATTTTATGCAATGTGGCTATACTGTCATCCCAATTTCCATCAAGTATTTGCTGTGTAAACCGATTCACCCCAGGTGACTGTAAGGGTATTCCAGATTCCTCCTCTAGATGTGCTCCAGTCTTTCTATAACCAAGAGAATATAATGCTTTTGCAATTATCCGGACAAATTCCTCTCTCTTTATAACCCCTTTGGAACCAACAACTTGTTCCTCCCCTTTGGAAGGTAGGGGCCGAGCCATCAAGTCACTGGACAAGCCTCCAACAGGCTCTTTAGAAGAAGAACCGTTAGATAAGCCAACTAGTCCTTTAGAGGATAATTTCATTCGTTTCAAGGCTGGTTCTTCATCTTCCACACCTCCCATGAAAAGTGCCCCTCAGCCCATATATAATTTCAACAGTGAGATAACAACACAAACAACCAAACGGCTAAGGAAAAAAGCCTCTGAAAACCCGCAAGGGAAAAAAATGTCTGCACAGAAAACTGAAAAGGCAACAGTAAGTAAAGTACAACAAAATTGAGTCCCAAACAGAAGCTAAAAAAACAAACAAATTCCTCAAACTGAAGCAACAAATGACCACAATCCAAAAAATAATAAGAAAATTGCAAAAATCCAAACTGTGTTACTTGAAAGCACATTGTACACAATCCCTCAAACTGAAACAACAAATGAACACAATTCAATAATAATATGACTTAATCCAAGCTGTATTACTTGCACATAGAAAACAAAACAAGCAACAGTAAGTACAGCAAAATAAAGACCTGAAACAGAAGCTAAATTCTAAAACAGCAAAAATATTCTTCAAATTGAAACAACGAATTAACATAATCCAAAATTAAAACTACTAATTAATACTAAGAATAATAAAAATGAAAGAATCCGAGGTGTGATACTCGAAAGTACAATGTTTCTACCAATATTATTTTCAGCTACCGACACAACAGAGATTGCGTGATACCTAGAAGAGGCTTAACACATGCTATATCCGAAACAATCATAATCATCATCTCAAAAGCGAAGCCGAACTAAAAAATTGCAAAATAAATAAATAAATAACAAATAAATTATATATATGCATTTTCCGAGGAAAGAAACAGCGACAAAGCGATAAAACGGTACGAATAACAGAAAGAGGATAAGATAAAACAATCGGCGTGAGAAGTCGCAGATCCAATAACTTGAGAAGAAGATAACGACGGTGATGATCCACCGACTTACAGAACAAGCAAAGGAACGATCGGAACCGAAGTTCGAGGTGCGATCGTGAGTTGAACAGCGCCGATTCCTTCTTCTTCTTCTTCTTCTTCTCCTTCTCCTGCTTCACACACTATTCAGTTACCAAAACCACGCGCTGAAAATCCCAAACCTTCGTCTTTTTGCCTTATGCCTGGAAACAACCATATATATATATATATATATATATATATACGTATAATATAATATGTTTTAACTCTTAATTATAATTAGTATTTATTTTACTGTAATTGAGAAATTATTTATTATTCTACTGGATTTAATTTTTCTCTTTTTCTCTTTTGGCTTTGGACTCTTCCTTGGGTATCGTGAAATGACGATCACCACCCTTGGCTACACTTTTGGTTTGGTATATGCCTTCCTTGTTTTTCAAACCACCACGCGTTTGCCTTCTTACTTCTCTATTCATACGAAACCTCATTCCTTTTCTCTAATTATTATTTATAATCTTCCTGCGTCTAAACAATGCCAAACGTAACTCTGATAATTAAGGCACGTTTAGTCCTACATGTATCACTGTTGCATTCACTCAAGAGATCGTGGACATCTTAAATTCAGCATCTTCCAGTCAGATATTTCCGTATTCACTTATATCTTTTAATAAATGATAACTTCATTTTTTAGTACATCTGAAAAATTACTCTTTCTATAAAATACTTCAAATATAATAATTGAGACAATTTCAACAAACTAAAAGTTATAATGTATGTATCTTCTTCGGTATTTCATCACTTATATCTTTTTTTATGGGTGGTCAAAGAATATTGATATAAGATTTCACATTCTCACCTGTTGCTACAGAAGTGTCAATAAAATATTCATTCAATTATAGAGTGTGTATCAATATTTTTTATAAAGTCGTATAAGTTTGAGTTATTTTACAAGTTGAAGAGTGTTTAAAATGATCCGATTTAAGAAAAACACTCTTTTACTGCATTGTCCTTCAAAAAATGATACAAGCACCAATTGTCCTTCACCCTTCAAAAAATTCATTAGATGGGACCAAAAGATTTCCTTCGGAACTTGCAAAAGAGTAAAAATTTTGCACTACCCCAACTTTTAGTGCAATACCACTTTACATTTTTTTTTTTATCTATTAGTAAGTTTAATTTTTATTGTAAATCTTTGTCTATAGAAAGGTTTTTCCAGCTGTATCACATCAAATATCAATTACTGAATTGAAATTGAGTGCAAAAACCTCTTCTCTCTTTTTTTCTCTTTTTTTTTCTTCTCATGTTTATGTTATAATGTTCATATAAATAAATAAAGTGAAAGAGAGAAGGAGAAAGTAGGAAGAGAGAAGATTGATTCTCTCACCAACCAAATAGTAGTCCCATCTCTTATACACTTTTTTTTTCTTTTCTATTTTTGTCATATCATATTAGTCATTTCTCTCTTTTCTTTTCCTATTTCTCATTGTGCCTGCCGATCTTTTTTCATGTATATTTGTAAGTGGAAACATTTGAAATGGTTTTACCAATTGTAATTGATATGCAAAGTGTTAACCTCGTTTGTGCCAAGGGTACCAACTTTGGAACTAGACGTAGTTCGATGATCAAATGACAACTTTGTAGGAAAAAGTTCTAACAATCAGATGACAATTTTCTTTCCAACATTCAACTTACCTGTACCTTCTCTTGGTTTTCAATTAAAAATTATAAATTGCTGTGTTGACCGATACAGTTCAAGGTTAGCCAATTTCGTACCAACCCAGAACTGCCTCCATCTTAAAAGACTCAACTGTTCTTCAAGCTTCTACTTCTTCTTTTTTGGTCTCTTTCTGTTAACCAAGTTTCAAGAACAACTTTATACACTACTTCACTTGAGATAATTTTCTTCAATAAAAGTTAAGCCATCTTATGAACATACACACTCCTTGAGCCCTCTATCAAGCATAATGCCCATAAATGGCTTGTAGCAGCTTAGTGAAGGCAACTTAAAAAGCTTAACCAGAGAAAGAAAAGGAGATGCGTGGCTGTCTTTACAAAGCCAGGAATATTAAGTATTCAGATACTTAATCCAACCATGTCCCTTAAATTATGAAACTCGTGCACAAAAGGGTGGTTAGAATACTCAAAACACAGATAGCACTGAAGTTGATTTACACATAGCACATATAACCTGCTATTGAAGTTTTTAAGCAACACTGAAAGAACTTGCAGTGCTCTCCACAAATCTTCTTGCTCCCTTAAACCACCTCTTGTCTCCAGCTTGAGCCTTGCAAATGAAAAGTTTTCCATCTTTTACAGTTGCTCTAATTAGTTGGTGCTTGCCACCTTCATCTCCATCAGCAGTCCTTGTCAACACAGACAAAACATAGTACTGTTTTCCATCAATCACTGGTGTTGCAGTCTCCAAGATGTTGGCTGTGGCCACCGCATTTGCATCAAAACCACCCTGAGCAATCAAAGTTCAGACTCAGTTATGACATGTAATGATATTGGTGCATTCGTGTTTGATCATCAATCACTTACCTCGGCTTGAGTTTCGCCAAAGAAGGCCTGTTTTCCTAGCAAGTAATCCACCTGCAATGAGGAAAAACCAAATATCTTGAATTTCAGAGAGCAATAGAGAACGTAGAAACAGATGTCATTGTGTTCAAAAATTCTTTAATGTATACTCAAAAGTAAAAAATTAATAATGTAACACAATTTATATTAAAAAAAAAAAAAAACTATCACTAAAATCTAGTAACCTCAGAATCAGCAAGAGGAAAGCAATTTTCCATCACTAAATTTTGTCAGAGATTCATTTTTGTCGGAACTTGAAACATAAAACTGTACATTAATGAGGCAATAAGTGATCCTTATTAATAAGAAGCCAAGCAGAAATATTATTTTAAAACAGGTTTACCTTAGAGAGGAACTCTTCGGGTGAACCGTAGTCAGTAATGGACTTCTTATCAGTTGGATTCACTGTTACAACGACATTGCTGGTTGAATCAAAGTTATCCTCAAATCTAAGAACCTGACCTGCGTACTCAACCTCTTTGCTTGGGTTCCACTTTGAGGGAATCGATAGTTTGAACCCATCTCCATTGTATGGTAGGAAGTCTGTGTTAGTCTTCGGCTTTCCAAACACATTGGCTGCAAGAAAAATATTCAAATTGCTCAAATAAACCATGTCATCATCATTTATTAGAGGGATCAAATCCATTTCTTCCCCCCACCCCCCACCACCCACCACCACCTAACGAATTCAACTTTTGAGATAAGGTGATCCTTCATCCTTGACATGGTAATAGAGACTTTATGAGTATGACCAAATGGTAATTCAATTAAGAGCTTAATCTTAGCCAACTCCATTTTTTCAATTATAATTTCTGCACAAGGTTTGAGCAAGCTTATACTTTGATGAGGGCCTAAATAAATTTCTACCCTTGGATTATATCCTATGATCACTCATCACTCAATTTTGTTTCATTTTGGTGAATCCCTAATGGAGAAGTAGAGAGAGACTAATGCCTGGAGATAGTAAGATCCATTCAAAAGTAGATTATAGCAACAATTGAAAGCAAAGCAATTGCAGCCATTTGGCATGTGTTTCCTAAAGCATGATGTTCTGAAAGCATGCAAATGAGTATTTGACATTGAAAGGCAAAGAAAGGTTAGTACCAGCCTCCCCATAAGCAGCATCTGCAGGTGAGACTTTGGAGGCAACAGCAGCAGCACCAATGAGCACAGTTAGAGCCAAGCGGCGAGAGATTGGGCCGAGATCATCCTCTTGGGCCGTTGACTGCTTGTGGGCCTTGCAGACAAGGTGGTTAGGCTTGGTGTTGACCATGATGCGTGGTGAAGGGGATCTGGCAGGGGTGGTACTGGTAAGGGCATGGTGGTGCAAGAAGCATTGAGTAGAAGCCATTCTGTTGTCTCACTAATCTCTGGGAGTAAAATGAGAGTTAGAGTTTAGTTATGTGTCACTGAGGATGTGGGTTTGGATTTGGAAGAGGATGATTGGGAAAACTGGATTAGATTCTCGATGTGGGATAAGGTACTAGAGGCTCTCATTGGTGCCACGTCATATCACGTATTCTCACTTCCCATGTCATGTCTCTCAGGTCACGACACTCCTTGTACAAATATTCTTTTACTACTTACTTATAAACTACAAACTCTAATACCATCACATAATATTTATTTTTATATCATCAATTTAAGTATTTATTTTTAAATGATAATGCTTATAAAAATCATTCTCTTTTACTAAAAATTAAGGTTTTAATCACCAAACATTATCAATCTAAAATAGTTTTACATAATCAATTAATAAGAAATCACTAATAGTATAACTTTTAAAAATGTTATTATAAAATGTTATCACCAACCACCAACCCACACGATCCATTTTGAGTCATGGTGGGACCACCTGTTGGCCCAATTTCATTTTTCTTTATTAATTCAAACTCATCAATCAAAAGTTTCAGCACAAACTTCTTTTTTTTTTTATTTATTATTTTTTAATATCTACGACTACACCTAACTAATTTCATTTACATCTACACCTCTCATCTCCATTAATTAATTAAGTAATTAACGTATAATACGTGCCTGTAAATTATTTTTAACTAAAATTTTATTTTTATTTAAGTGGCTTGACTTTTCAACCCATCGGGTAGAAATATAATATATTGTGATCTCCCACCAATCCCTCAAGGTAGAAGAGTTCAGTTCAAAGTAAATTTTCTCTTATCAACCCCACATTGTGAAGTCTCACAGTATGATGATGACAACTAATAATGTATTGAAGATTAACCCCTTATCTCAACTTACCTTAGTCAAATAGAGACGATTTGGAAATGATATCTAAATAGAAAGGATCAATTTCACTATTGTTTAAAACTGTTTCCTAATCTTACCATTAATTTCTTCGTTATAAAAGCGGATAAACATGCTTAAAAGAGCAATATGATAATTACAAACAATGGTAAGGGTCAATGACATCAATAGGATAACCTCTCAATATATATATATAAATATCAAAGGTTCAATGTGTGTTAATATATATCGAAGGTGAACTATTGACTCAATGTATAGATCCTATTTTCACAAGTATATCAGCACAACTATTTCTTTCGTGTAATATGTGGTGAATTGAGCAACTCCAATTCTTCCATTCCTTATGTGAAAGACCTCATTTACATACAAATGATGTTTCTTCACTCCTTCATTAACCATATTGACCGCGACAAAAGAATATGAGAAATAAACCACTTCCCTATAGCCAACATTCTAGCAAAGTTTCAAGCCCTTTAGAGCATCAAGGATTTTTGCACCAAGTATGGTAACCCGCCCAACTTGGCCATATATAGAAACCAAGGGGGAACCAACCCAAATGGTCTTTGCATATTCCACCAAACCCAACCACTCCAAATTCAACGAGACTCCCATCAACATTAAGAGCTATGTAATCTTCTGGGGGAGCTTTCCATGACACCTCTCGTAGAACTCGTGAACTACCAAAAGGTTAGGAGAAAGTTATTGCAATTTGTTGTGATTGAGCAACTATACTCAGGAGTGTTCATGGATCGATTTTTTTGAAAAATAAAAATCGAACTGAACCGAACCGATCCATTTTTTATAAAGTAGATCGGTTTGATTTTTTTTAAAATATAGATCGTTTTTTTTAAATTGGATCAGTTCGGTGCGGTGCGGTTATCCATTTTTTACTCATATATGGATCATTTTTTTTAAACCAAACTGAACCGATCCACTTTGTAAAAATGGATCAGATAATTAAATCAGTTTTATAAAGTGGATTGATTCGGATTTTTTTCCAAAATGAATCATATCGATTATGGATCGATTCAGATTTTTTGCACACCTCTAACTATACTTATAGTCAAACTTGACACAGATGTCACTTTCTAACGAAAGACCATAGCATTTCTACCACACCAAATAAGCCATCTTGTTGTGGGGAAGAGAACCTCATTAGATAAGGTTTTCTCGCGAATTCAAGAGACAAGTTCACTATCATTAAATGGAGCATTGAAGTTAGGAAAACCACAAAACACTCGTATTGCTTTAGAGAAAACACAATTGAGAAGACAATGGTTGATAGATTCATTCGAAGTTAAACATTGTGGACAAATTTTATTTTGAATGATGTTTCTTTCAAACAAAAGTTGTCTCACTATAGCTAGTATAGTCATCTGACACACTTGCTAAAGAAAAAAAAATTAAGAGTTAGCTAAAAATCATATGCCTTTTCAAGAAATCTCAATCCATGCAATCATATGCCTTTTCAAGGTCAAGTTTAAAAATGATGTCTCCTTTCTTCTCCTTAGACTTGTGTATACGATGAACAACATCTTATAAAATAATGACATTATCTTTAGTGTTCTAACTAGGTATAAAACTATTTTGCAAGGACTAATAATCTATGTGGTGTACGATCTTAGCCTCTTAACCAACTTATTGGACATAATTTGTAGATAATATTATTACATAGACTAATCGGTGAAAACTCTTTAATAGAGGTAAGAAGATCCTCCTTAAAAATAAGAATTAGAAATGTATGTGAATGACATAGTTCTAAAGTATCATTTCTCTCTCTCTTTTTTGTTTTGAAAAATATATATCTCTCATTATTAATAATTTGCTTTCCCATGTTAAGAAACTAAACAAATACATTGACTGTACTTTCTTTTCTCATTATATTTCTTTTTATAAATACTTAGAAAGAGATTCACTTAAAAGTAATATTTTATTATACATTCAAATTAATAAATAATATATTTTTTTATAAACATATTAATTTAAATTAATATAAAAAATATTAAATAAATTTAAAATTTTATAAATATTTTATAGTGAAAAAAAAACTTGAAACGATTATATGTCAAAATCCCATCATTTATTTTGTTAAATTGAACGTTTATTAAAAAAATATATTGGAAAAAATGACATGTGATGGTAATGTCAGCTTTCGTCCTATGTTAATTGCATAGTTGTTTACGCCGTGGCTCGAACTCCGAACATCCGAAGTGGGAAAATGACGTGGAGCTTCACGTGTTTTTTGTTTTCGTTTTCAGACTCCTTCTTCAATTATGACTACTTATTTATTCAATTATATATCATTACTTAATGAAATAAAAAATAATATTCATTAACTACTGCATGGTAAAACATTAATATTTATTTAAAGTTATTATCTTTAATCTGTACGGGACACTGACTGTGTTATTATTATCTAATACTTTTAAATATTTTCAAATACTTTCTATCTAGTAACTTTTTCATTCATTCGCTATAACTTATAAGAATCTCTCTCTCTCTCTCTCTCTCTCTCTGCTTTTCCACTGCTTCGCTTCTACTCTCTGGTTTGTGCACGGAACCATTCCTTTTCTTTCTGGTTGCTGCAATTTATGAATTCTTGCTTATGTTTCTTTGTTTATCTTGTTGAATTCGCTGAACAATTCTGCTGTTAGGGCTTTGCAGGTGTGATTAATCTGTGAATTTATTTGCTTATGGATGATTTATGTCATTATATGTCAAATGTGCTTCCTTTATGCTTCCCAATATGGTGGTAGGGGTAGGTGAAAAAACTTGCGCCACCCCTTTTTTATTTTCTGCTTTATTCTTTTAAAAAGATTTTCTTTTGCTGTCAAAAAAAAAAAAAAGAGAAGAATTTTCTTTTTCTTTCGTCTTTTCATTTTTATTTTTTCCCCACCTGACTCGAAGTATTTTGTATCCATGATTGTCAAAGTTTTAGCTATGTTTGGAGGAGAGGAGATAAATAAATTAACAAATACGCACGAAAACGATGTGTTTTCGTGTTTGGTCAAGAGAGAAAGTGAAAGGAAATAAGAGATTTTTCTGGAAAAAAAAAAACAAAAAGAAATCAAAGCTGTGTTTCTTTCTATTTTTCATTTAAAAACTCAAACAATTCTCTTCTCTGTCGCCGTCCAACCAAACATAGCATTGTAATAAATGGAGGTGTTAGCCTGCGTTTTGTGTCACAATCCTTCAGAGTCTCATTCGAAGAACACGTTTATATTGTGCATCGATTCACTGTTCTCTCCATTTCCCTTTCCCTTTTCCATATAATCCTTTTAGTTTCAACAAATACAATGTCAATAACAAAATGAACCCTGTGTAGTGTGTTCAGGCATAACAATGACTTTAATTTGTAACACTAATGAAAGAAGGCATAAAAATATAGTTAAAATGATCCAGAAAGCTAATGTAACACTATGAAGATTAAGGCCCATTTGCAGCAATAAGAACCCAACACAACACACAGTAGAAAGACTTAATGCCGTTGAAGTATTAAACTTGATGAAGTTTAAATACAGACAGGCTAAGTTAATTAATTGGCGGAGATGTTTCTTATATGACCTTAGACCAATAAGACTTATTTCAATTTAGATGGGATAACTTGTTGTCTTTGTGAATGTGTGACTTGATGTTGGTATGTTCTTCTCTTTGTTAATGGTTTAGGAAAAGGAAAATTGTATCTTGTGTTGGTTTCTTGTAAATGGAGACTGATGTTGCAGTGGTGTTAGGCATAATAGCTGTTTAGTACAACGTTTAATGTTCTTTTTTGTTCTTATATAAGTGCAGGAACAATGTCTGAGAAAATCACAGCTGAAAACCTTCTTAACACCCTCGTGGAAACAATTGCTGAGAAGCAAAAATCTGTATCATTCTTTGAAGAAGAGAAGTCAAACTCAGTGAGCTCCCAATTCAATAGACTGTTTGGACGCCAGAAACCTGTGCACCATCTTTTAGGTGGTGGAAAATGTATGGTAGTTCTAATGTTCTAGTAATTTTTCTGTAAAACCTATCATATTAGCCCTGACTTTTAAAAGTTTTTTGGGGGGTTTTCCTTTGAATGATGTAGCTGCCGATGTCTTGTTATGGAGGAACAAGAAGATCTCTGCTAGTGTTTTATCTGCGGCAACAGCTATATGGGTGCTTTTTGAATGGCTTAATTATAATTTCCTAACTCTTTTATTCTTTGTTCTGGCTCTTGGCATGCTTGGACAGTTTCTTTGGACAAATGCTTCTGGTTTGTTTAGCAGGTTATCCAAGCATCTCTTCTTCTCTTGTTATGATGGGTGACTTTATTGAAATATATTATACCACTTTACAGCTTAAACATGATTTGTTCTCTGGGGTGACAGGAAGCAGGCTAAAGTTCCCCGTTTTGTCCTCCCAGATGATTTCTTCGTGAATATTGCAACCGCAGTTGGTGCCGAGGTTAACCATGGCTTGAGGTTTCTCCAAGATGTTGCATGTGGTGGAAACCTAAAACAATTTCTTCTTGTAAGTTCACCCTTATGTTCGCTTGCTTTGGAATTGTTATTTATAATCCAGATTCATGCTTAGAACATAGTTTCCAGGTTAAACCAGTTTTCTGTTTCTGACACCTGTATGTGTTGTAGTTCTAGTGCTTGTTTCTAATCAATTCCATTTAGTTTTGTTTGCTACATTTTTCGTTTGTTACATGTTATTGATATTTATCATGGAAATTGTCAATTGCTTTTCTTTTCTTCTTTGAATTTCTAGTAATATGTGGGTTATATATTAAACCATACTGTGCAAAAAGAAATAAGTTTCTTGAGTTTGTGGGAACTTGTCAAGTCAACTAAACCTTATGTGACAGTATCTTCTGAGTCATTTGGTGTTAAGCTGTCTGTTATGGCAATAATCAATACTTGTGCGGTAATCCCTGATTTTATCACTTTGTTGTTGCTAAAGATGTAACATTACTGAGCAAAAGAGCATAAGGAGTTGGCACCCGGGGAGGGTGTGTGTAGGTGGGATGGGGGATTGACTTGCAGCCGGAGGTATGATATAATTGAATTGGGGAACAAGGATTTTAAGTTGTAAGCTCCATGGGTCAATATGGATTCTTTTACTTGATTTGGACTCTTGGAGTAGTATTTTATGACAAATAATCAATGCCAGCGGCTGTATTTTGTATCCTAAATGCACAACCATGATGATTCTCTTTCTTCTTTGCCATTAGTTTTATTACTTGTTTTTAACTCTTTATATAGTTAAATTATATTTGTTTCTATATTTTGTAGAATTGGAAAAATTATGCTCTTTTTGTGTGGAATTTGTGATAATGGTTACAACATCCCCAGGTTGTAGGTAGCTTATGGGCTGGTGCTGTTATTGGGAGCTGGTGCAATTTTTTGACTGTCATGTACATTGGTGAGAGACCTGCTTTCCTTTCATCTGTTGGTATAGATTATAATATGCTGATCAAGATTCAGAGTATATGCTTGAATTATTAATTTGGATAAAGTTTGAAAAATATAATTCAAAATTTCAACTAATTTTACAAATATCTGCTCTAAAAAAACGTGAATTATTGAAATTATAGAAATTGTATTATATTATTACCATTTGTTGGATTGTAAAGCCAACCTTATGTTTTGTTTGTATGAAAACAACATACTAACTTCTAAAACAATGTAATTTGCTGTGCCATAACTCTGTAGTGGAAACGATTTGAAACATGTTAAATTCCTGGTATGCTGGAGTCAGGAGTTTGGATGGTGTAACTCAATCGACTCGCTTAAATGTATGTTATGTCCTCAGGTTTTGTTGCTGCACATACACTTCCAGTTCTCTATGAAAGGTATGAGTATCAAGTTGACACCTTTGTGTACAAGGTCTTTGATCAGATGCAAAATAACTATCAGAAGCTGGATTCTGGCTTGCTTAGCAAAATCCCCAAGGGAAAGCTGAAAGGAAAGAAGTATGAATAGATTCTTCCTTATGTAAATTGTTTGGTTTTCAATATCCGTTTAGTGAGACTTGTGATGAAATTGGCAAAGCCTGAAGGATATAACCAGGGAACAATTCTGTGTTGGGGTCTTTAAAATTTGTTGTATACTTGTATCTCATTATTTGACCGGGAATGAAATTTTCGTTTATGACTGTGGCAACTTGCAAGCTTGTGAAGGCACTTACAAGGTGTTTGATACGGATCCGGATCCTCTGACTTTGAGATATCAAAGCTATGGTAACTTAACACATCTCAATCGATGGATTTGTAATAATAGATCAGATTGTGACACGTGTACAAAATATATTTTAACTTAAATGTACACGTGTCACAATCTGATCTACTATTATAAATCCAATGGTTTAAATATGTAAAGTTATCCTAACTTTCCCCCTCCAAAGTCAGGGGATCTATTTCCGTTTGATACTACCCAGTTTAAAACCAAATACATAAAAATAATGCACAATCAAAGGAAGAATAGGAGGGAAAATAAATGAAGAGGGTATTTTTATTTATTTATTTATTATTATTTTTTATGTACAGACGGCGAGTATTCTTTACCGGAGATAACTTTGCAAGTATAAGGATAATGTGTTTAATGGTTATGTATTATTAGTGTAAAAAGTTTTATATAATTAATTAAAAATTACAATTTGTATGATTTTTAGGATAATTATTATAAAAGTTAATATACTTAAATTTATAGTGGATTATAATTGGATAATTATATAAAAACTATTTTATACTACTAATGTATCACAATAATTATAGTTGAAAAACTTTTATTAAATATTTACTTCTCTATTTAACACAATTATATTGGACTCAAATTGATGTAAATAATTAGGTTGAATCAATATATAGTTAGTTTATTTACATACTTTGGAAGGGAAAAATGGTTGAAATTATAATTGTTTAAAACTTGATACATGAAAAAGACTTTGATCTCAAAGTGGAGATATTATTAGATGATCTTGGGCTAATATGATTCTCATTAAAAAATTTATATATGAAGTAGTTAGGTATTATTAATTTATTTTTGTAAATTGTGAAATTTAAATGTGTTGTGCAGATATTAGTTGGGACCACAAATAGGTGGTAGTTATAAACTCCTAAAAGAAAATTCAAAAGAGGGAAGAATTTTAATAGAGATAAAAAGCATTTTATGAATCATATAAACATATTTATTGTTATTTCTTTAAAATATAAAGTTATTAAGTTGAGGATAACTTCTCCAATCAAGCACTACCTAAAAAAAGCAGGTGCCTTTTTTTATATATATTTCTTATTAAAAATTTTAAAAAGATGTATTATTTTCTGACTTCAAGAAGGAAATAGTGAAACTAGTTATTTTTATCATTTTTTAACTAATAAATTAGTGACTGATTGAGCAATGTGAATTACTTTTAAAAATGAATTTGGGCTTCTTTGAAACATTACTAAAGTTGGGCTTTGCCCAAAAGAAAATAAAAAATTCTCTGTCTCCTTTTAAGTATGCACCATGAGCAACTCTTATATATCACAAAGTAGTAGACTTCGGCTTTTTTTAATACACAACTACTACCAGGAAACGAGCCTGATCAGCATGACTATGGTATATGTCCATTTTAACCCAATAGAATTCTTCATAAGCAATTACAATCACACTAGAAATTGAATAGAATGTTTTACGTAATGTATAATGAAATTTTCATTCTAACTTTTTAAATTAGTTTTATTTTTTCACACTATAATTTATTTACCTATCTTATGCTTTTCTTTATCTCTCTCCTTAGAGATGAGAATAGGAGAAATTTTAACCAAACTTATAATTTGATTTAATCTAATTTAACTTATTTAACAAAAAAGTTAAACTTAGATTTTTTTAAAAAGCTTATTTACTTAATTAAAACTGGGTTTAAACTTTTAAAAAGTTTGTTAAGTCTAATAAGACAGTCTAATTATTTATATGATATAATAAAATACAATATATATTTTATTATTAACAAAATAATTGAATAAATAAATTTGAAATACAAAAAAATCAAATTATCAATATTTTTTTTTATATTTCTACTACACTTAAACAATTTATATTACATCTCTTATTCATACAATATCAAGAACTCAAAAATTAAAACTCTAGTAGCTGCATTCACTTGTTCTTTTCCTTTTTCTTTATAGTTGATTATTTAGAATACTTCAAATGAGTTATAAGAAATATTTAAAAAAAAATTCTTAATAAAATTATCTTATTTTATCTCAACTTATATGTGAGTGTATACATTAAACACTTATTTATTTATTCATTGTAAACTCTAAATTTTAATAATAATAGAGAACTATTTTTTATATTGAAAATTAAAAAAAAAAGCTCACACATGTATTTAAAAATATAACTATTAATTTATTTAAAATTAAATTTATTATCCTATTTAACATTATTAATGTAATATAAATTTTTAAATAAACTAACAAGTCAAACTAGACTTTAGAAAAATCAAGTCAGACCTATAAAAATAACTAATGATAGATAATATATCAAATTTTAAGTTTAAATTTTATAAAACAAGTTCAATTTGTATATTTAAAGTCTATCTTAATTCGACATATTTTCATCTCTATCCTTAATTTTTACCTTTTTTTTATATTAAAAATATATAGTAAAATTATTTTTGGACAATCATGAGATAATAAAAAAAATAAGAAATATGATAAGATGGATTATATATTAGAATAGAAAAAAAATTATAATTTGTTTTTTTATATAAAAAAACTATTATTGGAATTATATTTCTCTATAGCTATATACACTATGAGAGGTATCAAAAATATTTTTCTTGTTTCATATTATAAATTTGTACTATACTTTTAGAATGAGCTAATCATTGGAATCCATTAATACACAATGAGAGGATATATATATATATATATATATATATATATAT